GTCCAAGCAGAGGTCAGCTTCTGTCTCCCCCGACTCTCGCTCTCTCGGTCAGCAAGGCCAGTGACTATCCCGCCGTGCTGCTGCTGCTGAGTTCCAGAAGGGCAGTGTCTCGGCTTTAAATGTCTTTAGGACAGATGAGCTTTTTGGGCCCTGGATTCTCAGTTTTGTTTTTTATACTGCAAGACAGAAAGATCAGAAGTGGGGAGGGAATGAGACAGGGAGGGGGACTCTGGAGAAATCTTGAGCCATGATCACCTGGGCCTCACCGGCTCCTGCAGGAGCTTCTCCGAGGTGGTGAGACCCAGCCAGGAGGCACTGGATGATCAACCTCCAGTTCACACCTGGACCCTCTTTCTCCTTTAATGGAAAAAGAAGCTGATGGAGCTGGGGAGGGAGGATAATAAGGAAACTGGGGGCATTAGAATTGAAAATTGTGGACACTCATCCTTCTCACTAAGCTGGGGGGTGGGGGGAATGAACTCTCTAAGTTCATGGAGGAAGAAAATCTCAAGTAGAAGACTCTCAGAAGCCAGCTAGTCCAACCTCTGAGTTTTAAAAAGTGAATCCTGAGGCCCAACTGCTGTGGTGCAATGGTAAAGTCAATGCCCTGCAAGGCTGGAAGCCATATGGCTGACTGTGGATTCTGGTCCCTGCGTCAGCCTGAAAATGTGCCAAGTGCTTGCACAGGAATCCAGGGTCCTCAGGAACTGGAGGGCTGGGAAAGGAATCGGGCATGAGGAACCCTGCTGTGTGTTCTCTCTTTCTCTCTCCTGGGCGCACGTGCACACACTCTATCATTAAAAAAACTAAAAAAATAAGGATCTAGAATCACACGTTGGCGATTTGGATTGAGAAGGAAGGACAGGGAGGTAGGGCACATGCCAGCTCTCCAGGTCATTCTAATACCAAAGTTTAAGGACCAGGGAGCCAATCTGCATTCCTAATTCACTCCCTTCCTCCACCAAAACAGATCTTTGAATGTCTCCTCCATAACCTTGCCTCAGTACAAATATTCCAAGAGACAGGGAGCTCACTCCCTTGAGACAGCTTCTGTCCTGAAACGTTACAACCCCACTGCCAGCTTCGGTACTATTCTAAGACTTTTCTTCCTTATGCCAAGTGACTGGAAGGGCTGCCCTGTCTTAGCTCACTCAGCACCATGAGGCAGAAATGTGCCTTTAAACATTAAGGATGACAGCCCCACCCACCCAGCAGAAAAATGAATGCAACCAGAAAGACTTCTAGAGGGAGGGAGCAGCCTGCTGGGGACTCCTCGGCACTGACCGTTCTCAATTGTGGAGCAAGGGTGGCCCCTAGTGGTCACAAGGATTACAGCCATCATCACCCCAGGTGGCGCTGGAAGCCAAGCACCTACTTTGTTCATGATCCAGTCAGCATCTTCAATAGCTCTTTTGATAATCTGCTGGATTCTCTCGGGGCTGTCTTCATCTGAGTGAACCTGGAAACTCTGGAAACATAAGCACAGAGGAAGATGCCCAGGCTAAATTCCAGGACCAGCAGCTCCAGTGCAGCATCACAAGTCTGGTGCGCGCTGCTGGGCACTTTCTCCTCAGCACCTCGCTCAGCCCTCCGGTGCAGAGCATCCTACTTAGAGAGGAGGAGGCAGAGGCTGGGAAATGCTAACTTGCTGCTAAGCAACAGCATCTGCATCCTATTTTACATGACCATAAGCCTAGTTGTCCTGCCACCAGAGCAGGGGTACAGAGGAAGACTGGACCCTGAGTTACTCCCAAATCAGGCAGGACCCAAAGGTTAATTGGCAGAGGGGGTCAAAGGGCAACCTCCTTTCCCTCTCTGCTTAACTTGCTCCTCACAAGAAGCTGACTGCACTAGGTGAGATCTCAGCCTGGCTTCAGGACAGGGGGGCGATAGGGCTTCTCTTGGGAAGCAGGGGAGGAGGAGAGGGGATGCAGCAGGGGGCAAATTGGGGAACTCCAGCCAGGCCCAGAGCAGAGCAAAGGCTTCTCTCTGCTCCTGACCCAATGCTGACCCTAGAGAAGCAATGTGAGAATCAGGCTGGCTCACTGGTACAGTGCTCAGGGCCCTTCAGAACAAACTGGGCCCTCCCTTCCCTGTCACTCCCAACCCCATGCATCCCCTACTCATCCTCAGGAGCCATCTCAAAAAGCCACCTCTGGGAAGCTCTCGCTGACTGCCCTGGACAGCTGCCTGCACCATGTTTCCACTCTCTGCTGCTACTTCCATTTATTAAAATTTCCATGTTATAGTTGTATAAATTTAGTTTTTAACTTTTTGTTTGAAAATGGTTTTTAACTTACAGAAAAGTTGCAAGAATTATACAAAGAATTTCCCACTAGGATTGGCAATGGCTAACATTTTACCACATTTGTCTTATCATTTTCTCATTTTTAATTTTTAAAAATTTTTATTGCTTGAGAGCACATGCATTCACCAGAGAGAGAGAGAGGAAGACAGCACCTCCCAGTGGCATGTGGCCACACTGCAATCCCTTCTCTATTTCTCCTGCCAGGATTTTGGGCAAGCATGCACGTGCAACTGGCTTGTTTTTTAAGCTGCTGGGGTTGGACTCAAACTGCAGTCAGCCATGGGGGCCATCTGGCTCCCTAACCACTGTACCACAAAGCTGGCCCTGTCATTCTTTCTTTGTATATAGGAGTTCTTTCCAAAAACATTTAAAAGTAAGTTACAGACATCATGCAGACATCTTACCCCTCTAAACACTTTTCTGTGTATTTCCCAACAATGAGCACATTCTCTTATTTAACTTTGGTACTCAAATTCAGAAAAATTAGCACTGATGCCATACTACTATCTAATCCACAGCCCATGTTCCAGTTTCATGCACTGCCCTATTAATGTCCTGTACAGCTGTTTTCGTTTTTCCTGGTAAGGATCCAGTCTGGGATAATGTTGTCACATCTCCCCTTTAATCCTGAGCAGTTCTTCTGCCTTTCTATGTGTTCTAAGACAGGACGTTTCTGATAAATATAGGCTAGTTAGTTCGCTGGTCCTTGTAAGGACCAGGGAGCCAATCTGCATTCCTAATTCACTCCCTTCCTCCACCAAAACAGATCTTTGAATGTCTCCTCCATAACCTTGCCTCAGTACAAATATTCCAAGAGACAGGGAGCTCACTCCCTTGAGACAGCTTCTGTCCTGAAACGTTACAACCCCACTGCCAGCTTCGGTACTATTCTAAGACTTTTCTTCCTTATGCCAAGTGACTGGAAGGGCTGCCCTGTCTTAGCTCACTCAGCACCATGAGGCAGAAATGTGCCTTTAAACATTAAGGATGACAGCCCCACCCACCCAGCAGAAAAATGAATGCAACCAGAAAGACTTCTAGAGGGAGGGAGCAGCCTGCTGGGGACTCCTCGGCACTGACCGTTCTCAATTGTGGAGCAAGGGTGGCCCCTAGTGGTCACAAGGATTACAGCCATCATCACCCCAGGTGGCGCTGGAAGCCAAGCACCTACTTTGTTCATGATCCAGTCAGCATCTTCAATAGCTCTTTTGATAATCTGCTGGATTCTCTCGGGGCTGTCTTCATCTGAGTGAACCTGGAAACTCTGGAAACATAAGCACAGAGGAAGATGCCCAGGCTAAATTCCAGGACCAGCAGCTCCAGTGCAGCATCACAAGTCTGGTGCGCGCTGCTGGGCACTTTCTCCTCAGCACCTCGCTCAGCCCTCCGGTGCAGAGCATCCTACTTAGAGAGGAGGAGGCAGAGGCTGGGAAATGCTAACTTGCTGCTAAGCAACAGCATCTGCATCCTATTTTACATGACCATAAGCCTAGTTGTCCTGCCACCAGAGCAGGGGTACAGAGGAAGACTGGACCCTGAGTTACTCCCAAATCAGGCAGGACCCAAAGGTTAATTGGCAGAGGGGGTCAAAGGGCAACCTCCTTTCCCTCTCTGCTTAACTTGCTCCTCACAAGAAGCTGACTGCACTAGGTGAGATCTCAGCCTGGCTTCAGGACAGGGGGGCGATAGGGCTTCTCTTGGGAAGCAGGGGAGGAGGAGAGGGGATGCAGCAGGGGGCAAATTGGGGAACTCCAGCCAGGCCCAGAGCAGAGCAAAGGCTTCTCTCTGCTCCTGACCCAATGCTGACCCTAGAGAAGCAATGTGAGAATCAGGCTGGCTCACTGGTACAGTGCTCAGGGCCCTTCAGAACAAACTGGGCCCTCCCTTCCCTGTCACTCCCAACCCCATGCATCCCCTACTCATCCTCAGGAGCCATCTCAAAAAGCCACCTCTGGGAAGCTCTCGCTGACTGCCCTGGACAGCTGCCTGCACCATGTTTCCACTCTCTGCTGCTACTTCCATTTATTAAAATTTCCATGTTATAGTTGTATAAATTTAGTTTTTAACTTTTTGTTTGAAAATGGTTTTTAACTTACAGAAAAGTTGCAAGAATTATACAAAGAATTTCCCACTAGGATTGGCAATGGCTAACATTTTACCACATTTGTCTTATCATTTTCTCATTTTTAATTTTTAAAAATTTTTATTGCTTGAGAGCACATGCATTCACCAGAGAGAGAGAGAGGAAGACAGCACCTCCCAGTGGCATGTGGCCACACTGCAATCCCTTCTCTATTTCTCCTGCCAGGATTTTGGGCAAGCATGCACGTGCAACTGGCTTGTTTTTTAAGCTGCTGGGGTTGGACTCAAACTGCAGTCAGCCATGGGGGCCATCTGGCTCCCTAACCACTGTACCACAAAGCTGGCCCTGTCATTCTTTCTTTGTATATAGGAGTTCTTTCCAAAAACATTTAAAAGTAAGTTACAGACATCATGCAGACATCTTACCCCTCTAAACACTTTTCTGTGTATTTCCCAACAATGAGCACATTCTCTTATTTAACTTTGGTACTCAAATTCAGAAAAATTAGCACTGATGCCATACTACTATCTAATCCACAGCCCATGTTCCAGTTTCATGCACTGCCCTATTAATGTCCTGTACAGCTGTTTTCGTTTTTCCTGGTAAGGATCCAGTCTGGGATAATGTTGTCACATCTCCCCTTTAATCCTGAGCAGTTCTTCTGCCTTTCTATGTGTTCTAAGACAGGACGTTTCTGATAAATATAGGCTAGTTAGTTCGCTGGTCCTTGGTTTGGGTTCATCTCATCTTTTCTCCTGATTAAGCCCAGGTTGGGCCCTTTAGGCAGGGATGGCTGTCAGATGATGCTCTGTCCCACACTTGTTCGACAGTCCCCTTAGGTGCCTTCCTCACACCCTGGCAGAGCTCGGGTGCAGGATGCTGGGCCCTGTTTCCTGGATAGAGAGGAGCTGGGCTGCACAGTGACCGTTTTCATGGCTCTTACTAAACTGTCTCCCCATCACTACCTGAAAGACTACTCCTGCGCCCTGGCCCTGGCCCTGGCCCTGGCCTCTGACCTCCCATCAACCCCCCACTAGAGGAAGTCCCTGCACCCCCAGACCCAGCATCCCCTGCTCCCACCTGCCTGACAGCATGTTTGTAATGCTCCTGGGTGCCTCTGGTTGGCAGCTGATGGCAACAGCGCAGCAAGTACCGGTAGAGTTGCCGCGGAGTCTGGACCAGCTCCGCCCCTGGTAACGGGGCCATCCGTGAGACCCTGTCCCTGGAAAACACAGAGTGTCACTTCTAAGGCATCTAGCCCTGGCCCCCAGGTCCCAGCACTTCTTGAAGCATGATTGATGCAGTGCAGAAACCAGGTCCTCCTCTTCCCCATCCCATGAAGCCCGCACCCGAGGCTGGAGCCTGGCGCTCCGTCCTGAAGAGACCTGGCCTCCAGCAGGCCTCCAAGGGCCAAGGGCAAGTGTGGAGGGAGGGGACACCTCATCCTGGCATTTCCTTCCGGAGCCCGACTAGAGGCAGTAGATGAAGAGGGCAGGGAAGTGGGAAGACCCTGAAAGGAAATCACAGAAACCAACTCTGATAGCCACCAGGCACATCCTCATGAGGGCACCAGGCCACAGGGGAGAGTGCCCAGAGGCCTAAGCCTCACTTCTCACAGTGTGGGCCTGGCCACCGGCACTGGCCGCATCACAAAAAGCTTGTCAGACACAGAGAGTCTCAGGCGCTACCCCAAACCCATGAGACAGACCTGCGTTCTCACGAGCTACCCAGGGATCCATATGCACACTGAAGTCTGAGAAGCACAATTCTAAGGGAGTCTGCATGAAGAAGCGGCCGCACACAGCACTGCCACGGTGCTCCCAGAGCCTGCGCCCAGGATTTCATCTTACTGACGTTATTAATAACAAGGAGCGCTTGCTATGTTCTAGTCGCTTTATTTAAGAAAACCAGACACACGGAGGCCTGGTAACTTGTCCGAGATATCACACAGCTGATAAAGGTAATGCTGGGATTTAAACCCAGGCAACACGGCTCCAGAGACCATATTAAAAAATAACAACACACAGCATTATGGAGGTGTAGCAGACACACATCAGTCATACAACTCGTTCAGTTCTGACATACGTCCACACTGAGAAACCACCATGTTCAATCCAGAGGGTGAATGTATCTGCCACCCCCAAAGTTTCCTGGTGCCTCTGTAATCCCTCCCTCCGGCCCTCCCCACTGTCCCTCCCCAAGCAACCACTGATCTGCTTTCTACCAATACGGATTCATTTGCATTTTCTAGAGCTCCGTATAAATAGAATTATACAGCATGCTCTCTTTTGTGTCTGCAGAGCCCATATTTTTAACCTTTGTATTATACTGGCTCTCTCCAAAGAACTCACACTCTAGTTTGACCTCCTTTTCTTTTTTAAGGTAACTCTGAGTCCAAATATTGAAAAATGGTAGATTCTGGGACCGGCAGGTGACATAGTGGTTGGGGCACTAGATTTCTACGTGGCCAACTATGGTTTGAATCCTGGACCTGGCGGCTTGCTTTCTTGCTTTCCCTGTCTTTCTCTTTCTGGTCAAATTAAAAAATAATAATAACAACAACAAATGGAATTAAAGAAATACGTTTTCTTTTAAACGGAAAATAATGGTAGGTTCTAGAACATAAGGATCTGATAAGCTTTCATTAAGTGCCTCCCAGCCCATAATCAGATACCTCTCTGCATTCACTGTCCTGTAGGCTCCTGCCTGAACCTCTGCCATGACATTGTGCCTGGTTTTCCTGACCCCAGCCTGTCACTCCCCAGTCTCCTCCACAAGGAGGCCGAATGAGCCTGGAACCAGTGTCCTGGGTAATCCCAGTCAGCCAATAGGAACTTCTCCCAAATCCCCCAAACTACCAAGTACCTGCCTCTTCAGTGCCTTTGCACACAGAGCGCCCTTTCCCACCCCATTCAGCTTTCAGGATCCAGCTCACTGACACTCTTGCAGGAAGCCCTTCCTGACTGCCCCTCCCTAGGAACAGAGGGAATCCTCTGTGCTCTGGGGCTGTGGTGGCCCGTTCATGCTGCTGTGGCCGTGCTGCCCACACTGGTGGTTTGCGCTGCTGTCACGCTTGGGGCGCTCCCTAGGCCACGTGCCGGCCCACCAAAGGCTTCATACACAGTTTACCGAACCGAACCAAACGGTTCCATTCTTACAGATTTCCCCTCCTTGAGAAAGAGGCTATACTCCAGATGAAGGAGCTAAAAACAGATTAAGTGACAGGCCTTGCTTTCAAAGTAACATTAAAAAGAGAAAGACAGCCACTACTCCCTCCCTAAAAAGAGGCGGCCAGACCACTAGGTCTATCAGCCCCTGGCACAAAGATCGGAAACTTCAGTAGCTGGTTTCAGAGGCTTATCAGGCCGCGTCAGCATATCTTCCCGGCAACTGCTAAGCTGGCCAACCCCTCCCAGTTCCTTGGCCCTTGCCCGGTCACTGGAGAAGATGCGGGTCTCTGTCCCCACTACCCTCTCTCCGTCCTGGGGACTCCTTCCCGGGTCTCAGCTCGAGGTCTGAGCGGGCCTCACCCAGGCCTGACCAATCAGAGATGGGCATCCACACGGGCACAGGGATTGGGTCACGGGTGGGCACGTGACAGAAGCTGGTCTAATCAGAGAAACGCTTTCACAGAGGCGCCCAGAAAGGGCTCCCTCTCTTTGCCACTAGGCCTGAGGCCGAGGACCAAATCCAGTGAAACCTTGCCCCTCGGAAAGCCTGAGGCTGCAGGCTCAGAGCCGAAGGCAGGGCTGAGACAACGAAAGAAACCAAGTCCGCAGATTTCACACACGAGCCCCAAAACCATCCCCCTGAAGGCAGACCCACTCCTAGACCTTCCAATGATCTGAGCCAAGTAATCGCTTCTTGCAAAGCTGCTTGGGTTGGTTTGGTCACTTGCAACACAGGAGACCTTACTGAGGGACGGATCCTGACCTCCCACGTGCTACTTCCGTTATGCGCTCTGATGGTTTCAGCTCTAAGGAAGACTCTAAACAAGGGCTGGGCTCCTCAAGTTCCTCCTGCTGGGAACTGCCACCTCGCTGGTCCCAGTAGCTACCTTTAGCCAACAGAGAAGAGCTCCATACCACGGTGGCCAAGAACCGCAAGGGTAACCAGAGAGGACATACCCCCCAAAGACCCCACCCTGTTGGGCAGACTCCACTGGCAGGCTTCCCCAAACTATATAAAGCGCTAATCAAATATTGTAAAATGCTAGTCGTGTGACAGATGGTTACCATCTGCAGTCCTCAAAATTAACATTTGGAAAGAGCACAACTTTGTTTCATTACTTAAAACCCAAGCAATACTTAGTAACCAACCCAGGGAGTATGGGCGGGAGATTATTTTCAGCTCAATTATAATACTTAGTCATTCTCAGTAATAACTAGTAGAGAATACATGTGTGGGTCCACTTAGAAGAGTTAAACTAAAAATGTTTTAATTTAATTTAAAGTGTGGGCTTGCTATTATTTAAGGGGCAATGAACCTACAGCACCATTGCTAAAACTACAGTCAAACCCTTTGGTCTGGGCAATGCATGCTTCCCTTAAACTACCTGCTGTCTGGACTGTGGCTGGACTGATCTTGGCCTCTCCCATCTCCTCCTGCCCCCAGCTCCCTCTCTAGGATGGCACTTCCATCTTCCCAGGCAACCAAAGTAAAATAATTACAGAGTCAGTCCAGGGCCTTCTATTTCCCTCAATCTTGTACCCTTGGTTTCTAAGTCCTATAAAATTCTACCTCTGAACATCCCCTCAAATAGCCCTCTCCTCTCTATTTCTCTTGGTTCAGACTTTGAGCACGCTCATGAGGACAGCTGCCACAGTCCCCTAGCTGGTCTCCCTGTCTTGCGATCCATTTCCCTCCAGTCTATTCTCCACCTAGTGACCAGAATGAACCTTTCCAAAACATAAATCTCAGGGTGTCCTACCCCTTCCTAAAACCTAAAACATCTTGTTAATTTTAGGACCCCTGCCACAGTCCCCTAGCTGGTCTCCCTGTCTTGCGATCCATTTCCCTCCAGTCTATTCTCCACCTAGTGACCAGAATGAACCTTTCCAAAACATAAATCTCAGGGTGTCCTACCCCTTCCTAAAACCTAAAACATCTTGTTAATTTTAGGAAAAGACAGGACACCCTGAGATGTATCAGTCCTCTCACCATTCACAGCAACATTTCCCAAAATATGAAATGATTTTAAGCAGTATACGGGCCAGCATCTTTTTTCTTATAATGCTTTTATAGTTAATAAGTAATGAGAAAAATACCCCATGATTTCAAAGGTATTATGGCTTAAAGCAGTTTTTTAAAAGAATTATCTAATTTTATTTATTCATTCATTTATTTTAATTTGACCAGAGAAAGACACAGAGAGAGAGAGAGAAAGAGAGAGAGAGAGAAAGAGAGAAAGGGAGAAAGCAAGCCACCACATCCAGGACTGGAACCGTGGTCGGCCATGTAGGAGTATCTAGCACCTTAACCACCAAGCCACCTGCTGGTCCCAACAGTATTTTTCCCCCCCAATGGGCAAAAATTTATCATTAATTTATAAAATAAATCAGGCTGGGCCAACAGGTGGCATAGTGACTAACATGCTGGATTCCCACATGGCCAACCATGGTTTGAGTCCCAGACCTGGTGGCTTGAAAATCATGCTGAGCATGTATGCATGTGTGCTCAAAATACCAAGAGGAGACTGGAGGAGAAGGGACTGCAGCATAGCCATTCCCCCAAAGGGTGATTTCTCACATTCCCTCTGTCTGTCTCTCTCTTTGGCAAGTGCATGTGCCTTATGGGAAAAATAAAATAAAATAAAATAAACTTAAAAAAATGTATCAGGCCACTCCATAGCCCAGTGGTTAGGGGAGCCAGATCCAACGTGGCCAATTGTGGTTCAAATCCCAGCCCTAGCAGCTCAAAACACACACTGGACATGTGTGCACGCATGCCCCAAATCCCAACAGGATGGAGAAATAGAGACAGGATTGCAGTGTGACCGTGCCCCATTGGGGGGGGGCGTGTTTTCTCTCTCCTCTCTTCTTTCTCTCTGTCCATCTCTCTGGTGAGTGCATCTCTGGCAATTTAAAAGAATGTATCAAACAAATAACAATGCAGCTGAACTGTGGAAATGGCAAAAATCTCGCAAGTGGTACTGAAGTTCAGAAAGCACTGGCCCACACTGCAAATCCAGACTCCTTTCTGTGGCCTACAAGCATGAAGCCT